TTTACCATGCATTAAATTCAGCGTCTGTTTGTACGCTATGGAATGGCAAACCACTGAGTGAATAGGTACAGGTCATTCGATAGCGTGAAATATTTGCGTTATCTTCAGCAATGCATAGCATGTTGCGTAAAATATTTTGGCATCGACGTCCTGTAACAATCGGTTAAAATTGGGACCAAGTCTGAAAATAGGATAAAATTGACCTGTCTCAGGTCACCGATATTGTATATTTCGAAAATCTGAAAGATGTAGATTTGATGATGCATGCTGTTCTACCTCTTCCGCAAATTTTGCCAAAATTGGTTAACCTCAAACATGTTGTCAGTTGCCAAACGTGCCCTGAGGGTGAGCTCAGAGTGGCCTGGCATGAGACAGTAACTTTGCACAACACCAGGCCTCAATCTCGATAGAACGTATAAGAAAGACCAAGGAACAGGCAATTAAAATTCAGCGCGTTGTGCGTTTTGATTTTTATTCGCTATCGGCAAAACATTGGAGAGGGGAGGGACATCGAAATATTCCCTCCATCTATCTCCTCGGAGGGTTGTAAGTGTTTGTGTATTCCATACATGTTCGGGTTTTCACGAACAATATGGAGAGAATCAACCACGTGGCGAGGCTTCTCGAATACAAGCTTAGTGCCAGCAATCGTAAGCGAAAAAACAACCAAAAACTCGGAAAGCAGAGGTAAATATTTAGGGTGTCATGTGACTTTCATGCTTCTGTTCAGCGCCCAGTGAATCCCGAATGATGGCTGCCCAACGGATCCTTGGTCGCACGGCCCTTTATTGCCGAACAGAAATGGAGTCTCGCGGGTCTCTAGCCTTGTTGACGTGTCAGGTGATACCGACCGACACGCTACACCCGGATCAAGTGACTCTGCTGTGAGGTGTTGTCTCGTCGCGTAAGTCTAAAAGAGCGTCGCAGCTGCTCAAAACATCGCAACTGCTATCTCCTGGTGTCTGGAACGTGTCTCAAACTCTTAACAATGACGGGAAGCGGGCGTATCATGGCTTGCTCGCGATTGTACGCAATGTCTGTACACTTTACACACTTAATCGGCCCCTACGGTCGCTCTCTCTCCTCCGCGAGCACTGGGTCCTAAGTATGTACTGCGCATGCCGCTTTCCAGCGGATATTTTCGAGCAGCTTACCATAACGCGACCCGTGAAATTTGATATCGCATCCCGAGCAAAACGAGCAAGTCTATCCCGTGATTTGGGATGACATTAGTTGACCGAAATTCAATGAGAATTAGAGTAAAGAAGCTGACTTACCGACTTCAAAATCAATTATGCCAACTATCACTCAAGGTGGACATTTAAGGCTCAAAGTACGTGAAATGCTATTATACCCCACCATTCCGGATTCGACTCCAGACCGAGAACTTGGTATTGCAGAGCTCTGTGAAGGATTTGACAAATATGAATGAACAGGTCAGGCAACGAACTGCATGTGCAGTTGTATGCATATGGTAGATGCGTAAGTACGCATATAACATATCTCGCAAATATTTGCGTCCAATTATATTCAAAACACTTTAGTACACAGGCTAGTTTGCAAGATTGACCTCTATCCTACATGCTCCTTATTCGTTATTGTGGTACGTTAACATAGGCCTAGGCCTCTCTTCTGCAGCAAACTGTGGTGCTAGACCGAATACCGTCTTTTCTTCCAGCGCCAGCCGGCTGCCCACCTCCCGGTCCGCCCCCTCCGAACGTGCGTACACCCCGAGCGCCGCCACACCGACGTCGGGCGTCCCGCACGTCTGACCGCCGGCGCCGGCGGTCAGACGTGCCGGGCGGAGCGTCGGAGCGGGACGTGCGAGCGCACCGTGCACGGCCGTGACCCGCGCGCCCTGTGACCGCGACTGCCGCCGGGCATGGTGCCAGACGTGACCTGAGCCGGCACCATGCGCGGGTCGGAGGCGCAGACGCTGGCAGTGGGGGTGGTCGTGGTGGTGGTGCTGGGGATGACCACGTCTCAGGCGGACGGTGAGTAGAAACCGGTGGAACAGCATTGTCTATCAGCGAAATACGTCGCACCTTTTTGGGTTTGCATTTTTTTTTTTTGGTATCGTAAGCACCGACATATATTCGATGTGTAATCTACACCTTTTAAGATAATATACATTCGAAGTTATTAACTCGCATGCGAGTAAGCATCGCACAGTTGTGCTACCAATTAACTTAAAAGAAACCCAAGATTAAACGGAACACGTGTCTCCTTTTCCAAAAAAAGAACAAGGTTTCCTGTCGACTGAGTTCACACATCTCGTCGTTTCCATCAGCTGCATACAACCTGAATGCTTGGGTGCTTGAATGCTTAGGGGATGAAATAATTTCATAGAGATTCCAACAATTATTGAGCCTATAAAAGTTATGCTGGCTAAAGGACAGCTCCTCCAACGACCGAAAGGGTTTTGAACCAAAAGTCCGAACGCAACATTTCAAGAGTATGCTTGTGAAATGTTTGCGGCGCCTCGTGAAGTCTCCGGCGTAAGGCACATGATTAACTGTTTGCGGAGTAGCCGATATTTGTTGCGGTAACACCAGCTTTGAAAGTAAGCGTTACTGTCATCGGCTAACATGTACCCTCTCAGATGATTTTCATCGAAGCTTCATTCTTAAGACACCACGATGGTTTTTAAAATAATTTCATGCGACCCGTTCTCAACATGACATCTTCGTGCTGGAAGCTTACATTTGATGGTAAGAGAACTACTCCCTTAGATCGAGACCATTGCTGGACCATCCCTGCGGAGAAATTTCCAAACTTAAGTCAACAGAAATAAATGAAGAAATATCCCAACGTGTGTTTACTTTGACACCTATATAATTGCCTTTAGTTCAGTTAGCTCAGCCGCAGTGGAATGATTCCCTTAACATTGAAGAGCTTGTAAAGGGAATCCTTGTAATGTATGTAACCATGGGAATCCCGTTTGTTGGTGAGTTATGAGGTGATTATTGTGATCGACAAAACATAACTCAAACGCAGCCTGGTCTCACGGGATGTGGATGGCCGGTGGAGAAACATCGCGGGAGACTTCATTACCAGAGCTTTGCAGTTGGGCCGACTCTCTCTCTCTCTCTCTCTCTCTCTCTCCTCCTCCTCCTCTCTCTCTCTCTCCTCTCTCTCCTCCTCTCTCCTCTCTCCTCTCTCTCTCTCTATCCCTCTCCTCTCTCTCTCTCTCTCTCTCTCTCTCTCTCTCCTCTCTCTCTCTCTCTCTCTCTCTCTCTCTCTCTCTCTCTCTCCCCTCTCTCTCCTCTCTCTCTCTCTCTCATCTCTCTCTCTCTCTCTCTCCCTCCTCTCTCTCTCTCTCCTCTCTCTCTCTCTCTCTTTCTCTGTTTGCAAGGGTGGCAACTCGCCAGACAGCACCAATCACTGCCCGACTTGGCACTAATCACTACCACGTGGCACTGTATGATCAGCCATGAATGGGCCAAATGGATTCTCTGTGAAAAGATAAATGGATTGAATGTACCCGACAGATGACGGAATATCTCAAGTACATGATGAGATATCCAGCCAATCTGGTAAAGAAGCGTGACTAAGAATTGATAGCATTCTTCTTTCGAGGATAAACATTCAATCAGGAGATTTCTCGTCGACTTGGCTTGGAGCCCTTATGAGCCATTTGTATTCTAAACCGAAAAGAACTCGGGTTGGTTTCTCTCCTTGCTACTCCTCCTCGGGTCAAGGCTGCAGGCTGAGGGCGAACGGTAGGCGGTAAGTTCCTCAGCCCCCGACAACTTCGACAGTGCCTGATTGATTTTGGTTATTTGTTGCACCATACGGCCTGTGGGCCACCCGGAACTCCTGGTACCCCTTGCCGGCACGAGTGGCAACACCTCACTAATAAGCCGCTGCTGAAATGTGGAAGATCAAGCGATAAGCCGGACGTGAAGCCCGCGACAGACAGAGCTAAAACTTGCGTCAGGCCGTGCCGTGCTTCTTATTTCGGGCGATGCAGCTATTTTATAACACTAGGACTAGGCCTACGATGAGGTGCCTCGTCTCTAGTGCGTCTGTGTCTCCATCATCTGCAACAACATTGCCCATGACGTAAACAGAGCGCATTGCTACTGAAGACAGACCGCTGAGCGCCGTGCACGTCCCCAACAGCCCAGTGACACCAACACCCCAGCGGTCCGCAAACAGCGCTGAACAAGCTGGCGAGACCGGCACGTCTGACGGTGCGCCTCAACGGCTGGCGGGGCGGCGCTCGCGCCGTCTGCCCCGCGGGGCTCCGATGCGGCGCAGGACGAGGCGAGCGGGGCGCGGGCGGGCGTTGCGGACGCGTCGTCGAGTGCCGCTCGACACCCACTCCGTCTCGCGCCCGGTCGGCCGGAGGATCGGAGCCGTGGAGACATCAGCTTTGCTCTCGCCGAGGCACCGCTGGAGCGTCCTGTCCTCTGCAGAGCGAGAGAGAGAGAGAGAGAGAGAGAGAGAGAGAGAGAGAGAGAGAGAGAGAGTAGAGAGAGGAGAGAGAGAGATAGAGAGAGAGAGAGAGAGAGATAGAAGAGAGGAGGAGAGAGAGAGAGAGAGAGAGAGAGAGAGAGAGAGAGAGAGAGAGAGAGGAGCGGTGAGGTGAATGACGGTTTCTCACCAATCCGGCGTAAAACGCCGTGCCGTAGCAGTATCGGGCCACAGCAAGGCGCCGGCTGTCATCGGTCTCATAGGTTCAATCGATGGTGAACAGCATCGGTGTGGAACTGGCGTACGGCTCGAGCTGCCGAAACTATCGCAGCGTTGCTCACATTGCCCCGTCACAGAGGTCAACCGCTAGGTTCCGGCGGCACCGCAGCAGTGTAAACGCGCAGCACGTTCTGCACTACGCTGTGCAACTAGATATGACCACCTGGTAGATGAGTAAGCCAGTCTACGTGCTGGCGAGTTTGGTAAGCTGGTTTTCTTGGTGCGTTTTCACAAACTCACGCTTCGCAAACGGCCGGGTTTTACATTCGATCGCTCAAGAGGCCATATTGCACACGTGGACGAACTATAGGCCAGGGCAGGTGTGTCAAAAGCAGTACCTCAAGTTGTAAAACATTTAATAGTGGGCAGGGCTCACGCGACACGCACTGCTTACGGTGGACACTGATGCCAAAAATTCATTTCATCAAAATGTTGGCACAAAATCGTTATGTTTAACGAATCTCGGACCATCCGAGTCATCACGCTGATCATCTCGAGTCCCCGTCCAGAATGCTTCCTGCTCATCTCGAGTCCCCACTCGGAAGGGGAGCGACTTTCTTCGGCATCCCACGTCATGTGGCTGTGCGATGCTGCAATGACGTGGCTGAGATGGGCTGTCAGCAGCGTGAGAGACCTCTGCAGCGAGCCTGGACACGGCTGCTCGGGGCCGCTGGGCACCACGCGGCTCCGCTTGTTCTCCGGCGGCAACACCGCTTCTGGGAGCATGTGCGGACCCCCCCCCCCCCCCCACGTCTGACGGGGCGGGGACTGGTGTCTGATATGGCAGCTGTAAAGCGGCGATGGACTGCATGTAAGCTAGGCAGGGAGTAACAGACAGGGCAATAATTTCCGCTCATAATCACAGACGGCTAGAGACATCAGATCGGCGCTCGCAAATCTCGTGGATGTATACCATTATTTATGCTTTACGTTTGAAATGTTGGGCACAGAACCAGTGAATTGCTCCAAGCGGATTGTTCTGACTTCTGCACACAACTGGCGGGGGAGGTTGTGTATATTCGCATGAATCCTGAAAACTGTCGGCTGAAGGTACACCACGAGCGCACATAAGCGGCTGTACAGACTGTATGCTGGTGCGGATGTAAGCAAGGCATCTTGGTCTTTAAATAAGAGACGTTAATCTTCTCCATCAACAAACCCAAACGAAGAAGCATAACGCAACGAACGTATACAAAATATGTGCCGCCATTGCCCATAAAGTCCTCATGAAGACTGTCCCATCTTATAAGCTTGGCGGTTTGAGCGACTGGAAATGACCCGGAGAGAGGAGGATCAGTTTTCCCTATATTCTTTAACATACATCTAGGATTCCAGCGGAAATCAGGCCCAGCTGGGGTGTGCTTCGCAAGTCGGAGGCAGGTGCATACCGTGCCACCTCACACACGCGCAGAGCCTTCAATGTAGAGGCTGATAATTGGCTTGCGGCCCTACCTGGTGACTGACGCGCTCCAGGACCTATCTAGGGCTGACGGTTTTCTAGGGTCGACGGTTTGCTCTCATCGAAGGGCCACTTTACGGCATGGGCAGGCATAGCTCGTCACTCGCCGAGGGACGCGTCACGCTGGTGCGTGGCTATATCTGACTGGGATTCATGGACAGTCCCGGCGGTTCTGGCGGACCCAAGAGACACCCCAAACAACACAGTCTCTCTCTGGCTTTTGCTTTGTAATGGAGCTCCTGAAAAATGTTTAAATGTGTGATTTCGACATGTACCACGCATATCAGAGACAGAATAAGGCATGCGAAGATACGAGCCCACTCCAAACCAAAGTCTTGCGTAAGTTTCGTTCACCTAAGTGTCCGTGGGATCAAAGTTTATCCATTAACGACCGCGCTGAACACTATTGTTTGCGAGGACATGGTCAGCTTCAGCGGATGTTTTATAGAAGTTTGTGTTCGGTTGCTCTGGGTTTCCGTTTGGCCACGGCCATCGATAATGATTTGTACAATCAGGCTGTCGTTACAGCGTCCGCCGTCGAGATTGAGAGCATCCTGGGGGAATCGTTCGCTCGATTTACTGGACGCCGGCCCTCCCTTGTACGCCATCAACGGTCCGCAGATTTCTTGTTTCATCGATGCGATTTCCCTGGAAGCCGGCTAGCGGAGTGCTGGCGTTTTCAGCAGAGAAATGGCTTCTCACAAGCTCAAGCTTTGGCTCTCCGGCGGAGGCGATCTCGATGTGGTCGAACCAGCTGCTCCTATTTCGAGACCCCGCACAAGCTGGTTCCATTTCGAGCCGCGCATCACTTGGCGTGGTCGACTTATGGAGTCAAAC